TTCACTCCTGATATGGAGCTGGCAGTGGGACTGGGATTTTCTCCTTGCCCATTCCTGCCCCCCAGTCAATGGGGTTACAAATTCTACCACCTTCATATCCTTGGGAAAGAGCTTGATGAGGAAAGGAGCGGGGTTAGCTGGGCATGACAAGCAAAAGAAAAGGAGAAAGTAGAGGCAGGAAGAGGTTGCTCCCTCTTGAGTAAATCCCACACCATCTCTTTCTTCTTCCTTCGTTCCCACATGCTGTCTTGTCTCCTTTCTTTTCTACCCACTTCACGAGTTCTTTCTAGCATTTCTCTCCTCCTAGTAAACGTGGTAGCAAAGGACCATAAGATACAGGAGGAGCTAACAAAGCTGCTCACTGCAGAAACTTTTACAACTTCTTCCATATCCTTTGTCCTTGAAGTAAGCACACCACCATTTTCGGATTTTTCTAACGGTTTTTATTTCTATCTATAGTCCTCCTCCTCTCTCTTTCCTGGATGAGAACGGTCAGTATTTGGGTTTTCATTTTTCTTTCATGAAGCATGGGGTTATAGAGGTGGATGAGTAGAGATTCCCAAATGAGAAACGGGTGGGTATCTTTAGGAGCAGGTGGAGGCTGTAGCGCGGCAGGTAAAGCTAAGAGGAGCAGGGAGCAGGCGTGGCGCTGCCTCCACCTTGATGCTGCCACGGACAGCCTTGGTCATCCAGCACTGGGCTGAGCTAAGATGGGGACTAAGCCTGGGAGCGGAGCATCATCGGCAGCTGCATAACCTGTGATGGATGGACGTCACCAGGGAAAGGAGTGAGCTTCTGTGCGCCTCTTGGAAAACTGTCCCCTGGGACTGCATCTTTGATGGTTACTTTAAGGTATCGGGGATAACCTGGGATTTTTTTCAGCCTTTGATGCTCATTTGAGTGATTCAGCAATATCAGAATGGCCCGGTTTTGCTTTATGTGCTAATGAACGCACACTTTGCTGTTCCTTAATTGATAAAGGCTCGTCCTGTGGTTGACAGGCCACTTATTAGTAGATGAGACTTTGCTATTAATTAGTGATTTTACAGTCAACGTTTGATAGACGCTAATGAGTATACACTGTTATTTTCATGGTATACGTTTATTGGATGCTTACTACTTTACTGGTAGCTTCTCATACCCTATCTCGCTTAATTCTCAAACCCTAAAATAGATCTTTTTATTTTCCCCATCTTACAGATACAGAAATTGAGTTACTGAGTGATTAAGTAACATGTCCAAGGTCACTCAACTAGTTAAGTGTGGGGCCAGGAGTGGAAGGTAGCCCAGATGGTTTCCAACTTTGGATTTTAAAAATAACAAGAAAAAAGACTCTGGGTGTAATAGCTTTGGGAACATAAGCTGTAGGAATATATTGATGTCTGTGCTTACTGTGAAACTTTGTAGGACCTCCTGTGTGGACGCTGGGCCGACCCCACCCCCCCACTCCCACGCTAGCCTATTCAGAAACATACCACAGGTGTCAGAGAGCCTGTGCAGCTGTGTCTTCCCCCTGCATGTCCTCCATACCACCTTTCTCTCTCCTCTCTAAACAGGCTTGTTATTGACAAAGGCTAGCNGGAGCCTGTGGTCAGCCGCCGCTTGGCCGCTTCCTAAAATCAATGGGGTCAAGGGCAGACGCCCAGGTAGGACGTGTCACCTCTTTTTGACTGGAGGAGGCTCTTGGGTAAATATGGTGGTTGGAGAAAGTGTGCATGTGTGTAGGGGATGTAGAATTTAAAAACAAAGCAAACTTTTTAAACTTCCAAATTTAATATCCTTAGAGTTGAAGTTCATTCATTCGATTTTAAAACGTGTATTGAGCGCCTACCCTGCCCCAGGCCGGATGCTGAGCTTTGGGCGCTGGGGATGCAACGACAAGACAGAGAAACGCCGCAAGAGAGCACGGACCCACGTAGTGTGGCACTACCGATCCAAGTTTTCCTAAGCAAGAAAAGGAGTTGGTAGGGAGAGGAGGCTTTAGAAGGGAGAGCGGATGGCCTTTTCCAGGATGAGTTTTAAGTTTTGCCTCGTGGAGGGGTTAGCCACCATTTACCTAAGCAGTACATGAACTCAGGGTGACGGTTGAGATCCAGTGGGTGGAATTGGTGGGCCAACACCTTTTTTTGTGCAAAAATTAATTTGACATCTTAAGAACTGGAGTGCATCCAAATGTTGTGGGCACGATTCTCCTTGAAATAGCCAAATTTCTCCGATGACTTAAAATAGAATCAGCAGAAACATATTTTTGTATAATACAGTTCTAATGTTTTTTCTGCTTGCTTGTACCCGATTTATGCCAGATTGTACTTTAAAGCCCATCTCACTTTGGGGTAAAGCATACTGAGGCTTTAGAGCAAAGGACATATTGTTTTCAATTAAGACTTCCAAGTGGCACCAATGCATTCATGGTTTCTTTGACCAGTGGCCATCTGGTAACCATGTTTTCTCAGTCTGTTCAGCTGCTTGCTTATTAAACTTACTCTTCCAGCCCAAGAAGCCCTATTCCTGTGGTTCAAGGGGTTGTTTCCTTTGTGTTTGGGAGTAAAGTGATCCTGCTGGACTGGAAAGAGGACAGACCAAGTAAGAAGACCGGAGTGCTAGTTCTAGTTTTGTTGCTCACTAGCATGATGCCCTTTGGCAGATCACTTACCAGTTATAGGCTTGCTTTCTCATACATGAAATAGTATGGCTGGCTTGGCTAGCCGCAGGGCTGACTTGCTTCTGCAGTAAGAATATCATCTTTCATTCATTCACATGACAGT